TTTTTTTTTAATCCATATTATTTAAAGAGAAAATGAGAGAGATGATGATTCTGAGGCCACCCTATCCCAGCCATATTATTCAGCAACAATGTAGGGATGAGCATGACAGTACAGGTGAGCATGAAGGATGGACAATCTTCGGGGATTTTAGATTGGGAACACAACAAAACACTAACACTCAGGGATTTGGGAATAGTTAGACGCCTGCTAATATCGATGATTCGTTTTTAGATCGAATCAACGAATTGTTAAACGAATTCAATCAATGGCACCAGCGTGACCAAGAATAACGTCGTCTATCATTTTATTTTTAGATCATATGTTACTAATTTTATGCTTTATTGTAGTCCATGTATGTTGATATACTTATTCCATGATAATTATATGTTTATCCTTTTGTGCGATGTAAATTAAATACTGAATGGCGATTCATGCAGGGAAAGAGCATATCAATATTCACATATTCATTCAAAAACATGAAAATTCTTAATGGAGTACCCTCATTTCTTATTGAATTCCTAAAAAACAATATTTATAATGAATTTTAATAATTTTTTTGGATTTTTTTTAAGCTTTATTATGACCGATTCACCCGATTCCCGATCCGAATCGCCGATTCGCCGATCCAGATCGGTTTTTTGGAAGCTTGATCCGAGTCACCGATCCGTTTTTTAAACCATTGGATTGAACACACATTCTCGCTCTCTAACTAAATAAAGTAAAAGGAACACAAACTATCATAATCCCTTTATGAAATCACAATCTCAGGTCATTACTAAAAGGGTGCGGTTTGCATACGGATGCATCCGTAGGTGTAGAGCTACGGTGGTGCACCTTCAAATTTCATTATGGCATATAATTTTGATGTAAAATGTTATTAGGATCATTTTAAAATATATTTTTATATCGAATTATAAAATTTTAAATTTTAAAAATGGTTAAAATCAAGTAGATCTATAAACATATGAAAATCTTACAAATTGACGGTGTAGATAATATGTTATAAACTGCACTATTTTTTGAGACTTAAAGTCTTTTTTTTTTTCATGGTCATACATCTTGATGTCGAGATGATCAATCAAAGAGTTTTTCAACATTAAAACTACCTTTTCTGATGGATTTTTGAGGTGTATCCATAGCTCTACAGTATAAGGTTGCAACCCTATATAAACTTTTTTCTAACTAAAAAGGTACGGTTTGTATGGAGCCGAGGCTCTAAACCTTCAAAGTAACGCATGCTTTCAAATGGTATCTAGAAATGTTGCCTTGAAATATATTTTGATCTTTAATTATAAAATTTAAAATTTCAAAAATAGTATAGATTGAGCAAATCTATGAAAATTTAAAATTCTTGAAAATTGATGGTCGAAAAATAGATTGTAAGATGCACTATTTCCAAAACTTGAAAAGCATTTTTTTTTCTCATGTTCATGCATCTTGATGTCGAGATGATCAATTTGAGGATATTTGAGCATCAAAACAACATCTTCTAATAAAATTTTTGAGATAGGCTCTAATTTAATTTCTTAGAGCCTCGGCTCTATACAAACTTTTTTTCATACTAAGGGTGCAGTTTGTATGGACCCATGCTTTAAACAATCAAAGTAAAGCACACCTTGCAATAATAACCAGAATTCTGGTTTTAATATTGAAAATCTTTGTGGTAGTCTTAAAATATATTTTCATCTTTAATTATAAAATTAAAAATTTAAAAAATAAAGTAAATCGAAGAAAAAAATCTTAAAAATTGACGATAAAAAAATGTGTTCCAACATGGAACATTTTCAAAACTTAAAATCGGTAAAACATCTTATCTTTTTCCATAAAATAAAAATATAACACCTAATTTTCCTAACTATGCCTAAATAATCATTCCACCAATACAAACGAAAACCACATGTCCAAAAACCATTCCTAAGAACAAAAAGATCAGGCCACCCTTCAACCATTCTCACCCCTTACATCTACTAAAAATATCAATATTACATCTCCCAGTTTCCAACCACTACCCTCACCTACTCCCCCACGTCGACCCACAGCTCCAGGGACAATTTAGTCAATTCAAGGTATGAACGATTTTCTCTTTCGCATAACTCACGACTGGCTTCCTCTGCGTAACTGAGAAGAGGAGGGGAGGAGCCATGGCTGCTCTCTTCGTTAGATGCCCCCAAATCCCAACCATCGGATTTAGAATCTCCTCCAGTTTAAGCGACGCAACCGTTAAGAGAGCGAAGGCCTCTGCCAATATTAGCGGCGCCGCCAAGGATGGCGGCCGAAGTAGCCAGAGGAGGAGGAGACTGTTGGCGTCTAGGGCGGACGATTCTCTGCCCTATGAGATGTCGGTGGAGAGCGCTTTGAAATTGCTCGGAGTTTCGGAAGGGTCTTCGTTCGAAGAGATCCTTAGGGCGAAGACTTCGATATTGGCTTCTTGCAAAGATGACCAGGAGGCCGCTGCTCAGGTGAGGTTTCAGTTTCTTTTTTATTTACTTCTCTGAGTGTTGATTTTTCTTCTTTTTGGTTATTATTACTCCTTATTTTGTGAATTTTCATTTCTTTCTCTTACTTTGCGCTTGTTTCTGGTTGCTGGTTCCTCTCTCTCTCTCTGTGGGTCTGTTTAGTTTGATATTGCTGGGTGCGTTTTCCGTTTGTTTTCTTTTTCATTTTGCGTGCTTTTGAAAATTAGTTATTGTGATTCTCTGAAGAGAATCATCATTCATCTCTCCCTCTATCAATTGTTCTGGTTCCTCATGGTCTGTTTATAGTTTAGATTGTTATCTTTCTTTCAGCAAAGAGTCTTTCTATTTTCTGAGCATCTCTCCTTCTCTCATTTTCCTCCATGGGGGGTCTGGTAAAGGTCTGGGTTTCTCTGCTTCCTTCTGACAATTGAATTACTCCCTTTTATGATATCTGTTTTTTAGTAGAGTTGGAAATGGTTGTATTTTGCTGTATCATCGTGATCTTATTGTATAAGTTGACGTGATTTGTTTCTCTCACAGTTTTTTATCACCCAATTCGATGAATTTTCTTGATTTAGTGGCGGATTTGGTTGTGTTTCCTGTAATGATCTTCCTATATTGGTAGAATTATACTTTCCGATAAAAAATAATTGATTTTATTTTGGAAAATTTTACCCTGATATGGGTGTATGAATTTGATTGGTCTTAGCTTTAGAGTTGGTTGTGTTTTAGCAATTTATGCAACTTAGTTTTATGGGTTTAATTTGTCTTAGCTTTAGACTTGGTTGCACTCAAGAAAATTATCCCAAACCTTCTAACAATTTGGGTATAGGATCCTTTTTTTTTTCCTTTTTTTTTCTTTTTTTGTTTTTTTTTTTTTCTGTTTTCAAGGCTTTGGAGCCCATTATTGTGGACTACATCAGGCAAACTGATAGAGGCCTTTACCTTTATTTATCAATGATGGCTATTAAAATGACTATGAAATGCGAAAATTAATAGTACTTAGAAAATAACAGTACAAACTATAAAGAGCATTATGTAAAAATGAAGGGATATAAAGGCATTATAACATATATATCAGGTATGATACTTTTACATATTAAAAATATTGATTTGTTCTTTTTTTTTTAAGGTTTTTTTAGCAATAATGAACTTTAAAGGATATGCTAGGCATTACTTTAGGAAATGATAATAAGAATTGGTGCAAAACTGGGTACCAACCAGGAAGGCTCATGGATCACCGTCAAAGGTTAGGGAAAGTGATCCATTCAACCCATGAAGCCACTACATCACGTAGGGCTGAACTGCTACACCAAGTAGGCACTTCTCAACTAACAAAGAAAGTAATGTCAAACACGCCTCTGGTCTAGCAAGTTTCTAGATGCAGTTTGCATCAATGACAATAATAATAAGTTTAGAACTGCCACCTTTCTTTTTAAATATGAAACCATCTATATCAGCTTAGATGTCTGGATAAAACAGCTGATATATTTTAAACAAACACTATATGTATTTGTGATGGTGCTTACAGTGGGTACCCATTGCATTTCCATATTGTAGTGGTCAAGGGCGTGTTCCAATATTTCTGGCATTGCAAAAGATATTTCTGCAGTTTCTTGACCAATACTTTCATGGTCTCCTGACCCATTATTATTTATCATTGAAACTTGCGTGCATGAGAACATTTGAACTGCTTCCAGGATTTGTTGTTAGTGTTTTTGTTTATTACCAGTCTCTGGGTTATTAGATGCATCACTAAAGCTATTCTTAAGAGAAAAGATTCATCTGAAAAGTATTTTAATCTATGAGTATAGAGAATCGACGAATTAAGCTGGACCACGAGAATCATTCTTTCTTTGAGAAGAACTTAAACAGAGAAACAAAATCTTGTGAGTATGCTTTAGTGTACAATGTGGCATATAGGGTGGAAATGCATTTAAACTGTTAAAGCGGAGTGAAAGTTTATCTTACATGGCGGAATTCATGAGGCATGTGTTATTGACAAGCTTATTGCGCTTGTTGATGTGGAGGAAATGGTGGATATGTTGTAGAAAATAGCAGAATGAGGCTGAAAGTAGAAGGCTCATAAAAATGGTGATTGGAAGGCATTATTCTCTCATTTAACTGCTAATTTGAAATGTCAAAATTTTGGTCCTTGGATGAATGTGTATGACAAGCAAGGTCAATACTGGAAAAAATGGAGGTTTCTACTTTGGGGGTTTTTAAAGAGTCCTTCTCACTTTGATGTGTTTGCTACCAACATGATCATGTCCCTTGTGCTTCTACGGTTACTTCTTAGCACGATATGGCTAGAGAGATCTTCGAGCAAGAGTTGTTGAGGCAAGTGGCATTTGACTTATGCATGGATTAGGCATGAGACAATGATGGTTTTCTGTGGATTTTTATTAGGAGTGAAGGGACCTATTGAAATTTGAAAGGATTTATGCACATTCTGTGGTAGGTCATAAGGACTACGATAGCGCTTAAAGCTAGAAGTCATAGAAACATCAGGGAGTTTAGATGATAAACCTGATTAATAGCTAGTATGAGGTGGTGTCTGAAGAATTATCTGTTACACTGAACATGATGATGCTTCTTTTTCTATCCCTCCGCTAATTATTTGTTTGTTCTATTGTGTGGTCTACCTGGGGAGTCTTTATGATCATGTTATCTGCCATTTCATTGATCACACATGTTGCATGAGATGGGTTTTGGAGGTGGATGGTGGGACATATTGACTTATGTATTTCATTATGATTTTACTAATGGCTCTTCAGCAGGATTAATTTCAGGGGCCTAGGAAGGGTGTTCCTTTGTTCTCTTTATTTCTAGTATCACATAAAAGTCACTATGTCAATTCTTCATAGAGAGTTGTATGTTGCAACTTGATTCTTAGGTTATAAACAGGAAGATTTTGCTTCTTATTACCAATCTCTAGTTTGCTTTTTCTTTTTCTTTTTCCACTTTTTTTTTCTCTTTTTTTCTTTTATCATTTGTATCTTGAGTCAGGAATTTCAGGTTTTTCGTCCATGTTTACAATCTTGTGTTTGGTCAAATGACAAGGATGTTTAGAGCAGAAATTGGGCAAGTTGTGGTGGTCTAGGCCGTTGGATGCAAGCCTTGTAGCGTTTCGCTTGCACTTGGTTTACCTTATGTGAAGATTCGCCAAACACAGCTTCATAGGACCTTGTGGTATAATGACTTCAATAGCTGTTTAGCTTCATGGAACAGTAGACTCTCTAATTTTGTGTGAAAATGGCACCTAAAGTTACTTGTCGAACATCTGGTTTACTTCATTTTGCTTTCCAAACATGTAATAAAATTAGGTGGGTGGCTACTTTTGCCTCCCATGTTTAGAGTGATATTCTAAAAGAATTGGTTGGACTACTAAGGAGTGGGTGGTAGAACATGCTGATAGTTTAAGAAAGATGGTGTTGTTTGCATGTTTGCACTCAGGCAATGGCAAACACATGTGTGCACTCCCCCCCCATCCACATATAGACCATGCCGTGAAACTTTCTTGATTGAGCATAGATGGACCAGTATAATTATTCACTATATAAATTTGTTAAGAGATTTTTACATTGGCAAAAGTATCGTGTTTTATTTTTCTTTGTATTTTCATTTCAATGGATGATTACACGGGGGGTTGGATTATCGTGCAATCTTGAAAACAATATCCCATCTCTTTTTGTTCTTTTTCCTTTTTCCCTCTCTTCTGTTAAAAACAATTATAGCTTTTAAGTGGACCTGTGATACTAATATGTGCAAAATGCATGAGAAGACTCCATTTACCAGAATTGAGAAAACCCACTTAGATAATCAATGTCTATGTGGTCAAATGCATTAGAGATCGAAGCTACCTTTGTAGTTTTTCACGCCTTTACATTCTAGTGATATATATATATATATTTTTTCAGGTAGAGGCTGCATATGACATGTTGCTTATGCAAAGCCTAATCCAAAGGAGGAAAGGCAAAGTTGTAAATAGCAGCATCCGTTATGCTGATGTAAAACCGACAAGTAGCTCAAATAGACTGCCTCGGTGGCTACAGAATACTGTTAAGAATTCACCAGTTTCACTTGAAGCACCATCCGCCGGAAGCCTTGGGATAGAAGCTGGAATATATGGGGCACTGATGGTTTTTACATTCGTCAGTGGGGTCTCTTCATCCACAGGAGCGCCCAATAGTGGAGCTGATGTTCCTGGCCTGGTTTTGGCCACTGGCTTTGGGGCTTCATTGTACTTCTTGACCAAGAAGAATGTCAATCTAGGTAAGAACTTTGAAAGGGACTAATTATTAGTTATATATCAAGGGACTTTTATTTTAAAGGGAATCTAATGTGTTGAATGATGATCTAGCTTGCACTTTCCAATAATAGAGTTATATAATGTGTTATTTGTCCATGTGATCTTCTTTTAGTATCAAGCTGCTGCTCATATCTAATTCAGTTTATTTGCTCTCTCAGTGGGATAATCTGCATTTGTTTGCATTAGACAAGTGTAGATATATTCAAGGAGTAGATATATTCAATGATTGTTTGCCAGAATAGCTTCTATTCTGATATTCCAACTGCTTGAAATTATCATGTGCAATGGTTTCCATGTAAATGATATATTGCTGATGAATTCTTTCATTAAATTTGTCTAACTATACCTCTTAAGTCGTTTGTGAAATTTCATGGTATTATTCTTCATGAACACCGTGATTTATCCTGACTGAAAGTTAGCATGAGCCAGAGTCTCTCTGGACGGAAAATCCTTATGTGAAATTGGCATCCTTAATCATCAAACCAAAAATTGCCTTTTGTTTTAGCTATGGTACTTTCTTAAATAGGAAAATTGCCCGGTGGTAAATAAGTACTCGCTTATTTTAACTTTGATACAGTGGCTACTGTAACCAGGCTGTAATGTTATCTATGTCATTATCATCTTGGAGCAAATTCCTTTAGGTGATTTTATTTTCTTTATTGAACTCCTTGAAATTATTTTGCATTTTGTAGTTCTACAGAAGCATCAAACTGAGTGGAACTAGTTAAATCCTCTTAAAACAGAAGCATCAAACTTGAGTGAAACTAGTTAAATCCTCTTAAAATTGCTTGTTTTTTCTCCTCTGTGTGAAGTATACATGTCAAGTTCATTCAAAACTTCTCAGTAGCAACTTTTTGTCAATCTTAGGTTAATAAAACTGATGAAGTGATACCTAGTGAGCGCAGGGGCGATGAGCAATTATGAGCATAAGATCCAAGAGAATATGAGTATTTACAATCACGAGGATTTGCCATACCTTTTGGGATGATCTCTAACCGGTCCAATTGGTATATTGTCATAAGTTGGTTCAGCATTGCTTGATGCCTTTTTTCTATAAGCATTGGATTACAGACTCAACAAAGATTTTCTAGTTGAGTAACTCAGTGGAACTATAGATGAATTGTAAGTGAGAAATGGAATGGTAAAGTTTGCTGAAATATCATTTGAACCAAGTGATTGTTTCCCTAACACAATTAAGAAATTTATTTTTTAGGTAAGCACCTAACACAGTTAAGTTCCATGAGTAGAAACTAAGGGCATATGGTAAAGACAGCACATGATGAGATTCCTATTAATGCTAAGTTGTTGGGTCAGAACTTGTTAACGGCATTTATTTTTCTTATCCTTCATACAAATCAAGGTACAAGAACTTGCACAAATTTGTAAATTATCATGTTCATGTTAATGGGGCTGCAAAAATTTACGGTGTTACCAAAGAGTCATAATCTATAATAAGTTTTCTATAGGCATTTTGTTAGTGAATGCTTTCCAAGACTGATCTAGGTGTGCAATTTCTGAGATTAGTCATAGATGGCAGGAAAGAATTGCTTCAGCTTGAAAAACTTCTAGTGTAACTAAATAGAGGAGTCAATACTTCCAATCGAAAAGAAAAGGAAGTGACAGTTTCCAAAATGTTGCTATCTCATTTGCTCCATTTTGCTGTAAATTGTGCTGACAATGCTTTAGTTTCAATGTGCTCTCAACTTAGGAAGATATATTAACTGCATGAGTTGAGTATCAGGCGCTGCCAAACAGAACGATTGATGTCAAATTCAACAGTAGCTCGCTGGCATGGGAGTAGCATGCTGCGACATTTGGATGAAGATTTAGAAATCCATCTCCACCCTAGAAGCTATGTAGAACTGCCTTCTTACGAGGGCTGAGAATGGGTTGGATCGGGTCCGGATTCCCTAGGATCCGGATTCAGATCCGAAAAGTATACATGGGATCTGGATCCAGATTCGGATTCGGATTCGAATCGAAGAAGTATACATAGGATCTAGATCCGAATCCAGTTGGATCCAAGAAATTTATTTTATATATTATTTTATATCTATAAAATAATAAGTAACAAAAAATAGTATATAATATATGTATTATATATAAAATAATATATATATATATATATATATATATCAACCTGGGTCAGATCCGGATCGGATCCACCTGTACTTGGATCCAATTTGAATGCTATTTGGATCCAGATATGACCTGTCAGATCCAAATCCGACCTGGCAGATCCAAATCTTGGACCCATACTCGGATCTGGATAGGATCAGAAATTGGGGTTTCGGATCCAAATTGGGTAATTCTCAGCCCTACTGCTTACTAACTAGGTTGAGTATCCTAATTCATTCTTAAGCTGTGAGGAGTCGACTGGCTAAGTGTCTTCGTAAGCTTCAGAAGATTATCCATTCTTTTGGTGCATAACGTTTCTGACGGAAGTCTCTAGACATGGCTATCTCTTGTGGTTGCTCTTTGTACCAAATGTATGAAGAAACTGAATTTGTGGATAGAGTGGCCAATGAGTGCCTGGCTCCATACTGGAGTTTTATAGTCCATTACTCCTCACTTTAGTCCTCTTTCCTTCTCCTTTTCTCCCATCGTATACTTTGCCATTTGGCTGTGCTCTTGTTTTGTGCTCTTTTATTACCCTCATTCTGGGACTTTTGTGGGCTGAAATTCCCTATATTGAAGATCTTAGAGTTGATTTTGATTTTGCATTAGTTGATTTTTATTTTGCCTTAGTGTTTGTTATCATCATCTGTCGACATGATAACTTCCGATACTTGTCTTATTACTTCTAGTTTTTTATTAACACTAGGACTTCCTGTATTTCAATTTCAACCTGTCATTTGATTCTGATTATTATTATACTGTAATCTATACTTCTCTTATTACTTATAGTTGCTTATTACCATTAGGACTTCTTGTATTTCAATTACAACCTATCGTTTGATATTGATTGTTATTTTGCTGTTGGTTTACAGTGGGAATGAGTATGGTCTTCTGCATTTATTATGTATGTGAATGTGAATGGGTAAATGATATTCCATTAAAAAGACATGGGTAAATGAGGTTGTACAAGACTATAAAATTATTAAGATATCATTCCATCAGATCCATTTAAGTCTTTCTTAGTTTTTCTAAATTTCTCTTTTTCCTTATGACTCTATCATTTTTTTTAGTTATCTGTACTACCTCGTCAATTTTCTTGAGTGAGTTTTGCATGTCACACAAGACAATCACGCCTTTTGTTTTTTAATGTGGAATCATACCTGTCCATTCTTTACTTGGTACCCTTAATCCGTATGTATAAATCCAATCCTATATTCTATGGGATTCATTGTCTTTCCAATCCATCTGAATTTATCTTTCTTGCTTAAATCCAATCCAAGACTCAAAAAACATTCTCTCTCTAACCTAACTAAATTTGTCTTTCTTGCTTAAATCCAATCCAAGATCTCCAAAAAGATGACATCTGCAATCCCATCTCTGTGTGTGTGTGTGTGGAAGCATGGACCTTTCTCTCTTTGTGTCTGCACAACGCACAGGCTGTATACTAGTTTGGACTAAATCTGAAGGCTTTTGTAAAGCAGCCAAAGACCTGAGGCACTTTGAAATCAGTGAAAGAACTGAAATACTTTGATACCCGCATGTGAAGCACATCTTTTAGTATTTCCCTGCGCATCTAACATACACATGCAAATATAAACATGTCAACTAGTTCTACTGCTACTAATGCACTCCGAGAAGTCCTTCATGCTAGTTAGTAGTACTAATCAGAAAAAAGAGTTGTGGTAGCGAAGTACTTGGTTTGCTGGTCATTATGTGGCAAGATGTTGCCATATCTCTATAAATATCGTGTTAGACATGACCTTGCCTTGATCTCTAGACAAATATGGTCCTTTACAATCTTCCACTTCTTATGATTAAATATTTTAGGACTTCTTGAATTTAGGCTTAGAATACTCTTCCAGTACAATTTTTTATTGAATGACTGAAGTTAGATATATTTTCAGTTTAGGTGGTTAAAGAAAGCATAGTGATTTTGAAAGTTAAGTCGTTTATATAGATTTTTGCCAAGTCTGAAAACTAGAACCATGAGTATATTTGCAGATATGATCCTTAGATTTCAGTTTCTTCAAAGGGCGATAGAACTTTTGAAATAATGCATCTGTATCTGTCAAGAAAGAAACTAAAGTTAAGAAAAGAAACTAAAGTTTCTAGAAATTGTTAACTGATAATGCAATTGACTGCAGATTAGCATAGTGCCTGAATCTATTTCTAAGAATGCCCTTTCTTTGTTTCATAATTGCATTTGAGCATCTGAAACATTGTGCCCATTCTATCCCTTTCTCCTTCCCTTGTAAATTCAATCTCTTCTTACTAGACTTACATTTTGGCTTTATGTTTTCCCAAGTTGAGTTACAAATGGTGATCCTTTAGGAGCCGTTTGTAAATTCAATCTCTTACTGGACTTACATTTTGGCTTAATGTTTTCCCAAGTTGAGTTACAAATGGTGATCCTTTAGGAGCCGTTTGGGTACCTGAAAATCTATTACATGAAAATATATTGCAAGGAAATATGAGATTTACCATGTTTGGGTGCACTTCAACCGTAAGAAAAAGGAAATAAATTACACAAGATTTTTCCAAAATATGTGAAATCTATTACGCGCAGAATGATTGTGAAATCCATTACGTGCGTCTCTTGCCCATTCTCCTGCCATTGTCCTCTCGTGCGTCTCTTGTGCTTAACGGGTAATCTAACTACGTGCGTTTCTTGCCCATTCTCCTGCCATTGTCCTTTCGTGCGTCTCTTGTGCTTAACGGGTAATCTAACTACGTGCCCCATTCTCTTGCCATTGTCCCTCTCGTGCGTCTCTTGCCCATTCTCTTGCTATTCTCCCTCTCTCCTACGCGCACATCCCTTTCTACTTTCTCTCTCAACTCCACTTAT